AAAGGACTGCACGTTAAATTACAGATTGATTACAATAATTATAAAAAGTAACCCTCTAATAGGATCGAGTGCGATATCCAGCGGAAGCGTTAAACCATCAGCGATTAGGACAGCTCGTCGTTCACCGTCAAATGTTGATATGTCAATACGACGTGATCCTGACTCAATGATGTACAAATGATTAGTTATCCAGTCGACAGCCAAATTTCTCGGATAAATCAAACTTTTCAAATCCAATTTCCTGAATGATTAAGTTTGTAACAGAACTCATTGGAATAGCATAAGCACCCTACAAACTTAAGAGTGCCCAGCACGAGTGCAAGCATCACTGTTAAGTGGAAAATACACAGATGCATACTTCTGCAGAAGTAGGATACTGGCATGAATGAACTTGGGCAACAGGTATGTAGCTCAGGATGAAAGACCTGACGCAGTCGCTCTCACTGTTGGCTTGCATCTACCTAACACTGTCAGTAATAATTGTCCAAGCCCGGTTATTTGGGCTTTCTTGCGATATTTCCATCAGGATGAGTTGTCTCATGAAAATGGCCATCTAAACCAATTTTTACATCTCTGCTCACCGGTACTAGTTTTAATAAGAAATTTGTGTATCAATTGCTACTGGCTAAAATGCCCAACCGGTAAAATGTGCTGGTTGGGCATCTTAACCCGCAGCACTTGATAGAAATAAAACATGCAAAATCGGTTAGGTAGTTGCCGATAGCATTATTAAATAATTGGCCAACGCACGGGCCGTCCGTGCGAAGATGCATTTTTTGTAGAGTTCCCCGCAGTTTTTGTTGCTACCGGCACCGATTTTTGCGGCAAATGCTTCTAGCAAAACAAACTAAGACTGGCCGCCAGAACTATCAGGAAACATCCCCTTAAAATTTCAACTTTCTAGCTTCCATGGCTCCCGAGTTAGCAACTCACTGGAACAAAATTTTCATGGGCCCGTGCCTATTTACCAAGCATACCTGAAAGCTGTGTTCCAGCTGAACGAAACTTAGGCGGACGGGGTGTATCCTCTTAAAATTGCATCCCTTTAGTTTCTCAGGTGCTTGAGTTATCAATTTACACGAAGAAAATTTTAGAGGGCCAGTAATGTGGGTGCCACGCTTACCCGGGGACTGGGTTTGAGCTCATTAGCACCTACTTGGACA